CACGCTTGACCCCAGACCCATCACGGGCTTAGCCCGTGCCTGAGAAGAAAAACTCAGGCCCGGTTCAGGCCCTTCACGGGCCGGTCCCGGCCCTTGTATTTTTTTTAAATTTAATTAAAAAAAATATCATATGCCCCAAAAGATGTGATTTTATTAAATTGACGTAATAGGAGTACACATAAATGACTGCATTGTTAAAAACCTTGTTAAGTAAAACCCGTGGGGAGATCGGGACAAAACCTTAGCGAAGGAAAAAAGAGTGCAGTAGCTAGGAATAGTAAATTACAAACCTAAGTGCTTCCAGAAGATTCTGTTATTTCTAAGTTAGAAAAATATTTTTGCATCGAATCATCTGTGTATTGTTGTTTTCGTATTCTGGCATCTTCCAGTCTTTAACGCACATTAGTCCCACCAAGATATCTGGATGCATTCTGCTTCTCTTCTCGTCAAGAATTCGGTTGCTTACGCTAAAAGCTTGCTCCGATGCTACCGTTGACACTGGAGTTGTCAGAATGTCACGAGCTATTATGGACAGTTTTGAAAAATGATCTGTCTTGCTCTTCCACCACTGTAAGATGTCTAGTTTGTCATCATCGATTACAAAATTTACTTCAAAATGTTTGACTAGTTCTATAGACGCTTGTGTTGAGGACGATCCTGCCGTTTTCTCTTTCTTCTTCAAGAAACTCCACGATGATCCTTTAGGCCCCGAACTGGTAGTTGACGACGACGCTCCCTGTTCTTTTTGACCTGTGCTATATTTTGCTTTATACAAACTAAAAACTTTTTCTAACATTTTCTTAGCGTCAGTAATAATTAGTTGCATATCTATTTTTAAATTATCTGCGGTAGCAGTCATCAATTATTCAGTTCCATCTACTCCGCACCTAGGATCTAAAATGGTTGTCAATGCATATAACATAGGACAACGTGACCAATAACTTTTAAATTTATTTTCCATTAAGTTAACTATATTTCCAAAAAGTTTTGTATCCCTATAATAAGAAAATGTTTCTGAAATATTAAATACTTGATGTAAAGCTAAATGTGTAGTAGGATAATCAACTCCAGAAAGTAATTCAGTAGCATTATAAAAAACTTCTAGAAATTTAAAAGAATACTCAGCAATCTGCCAATCAGGATCGAAAATTAAAATTTGACCGTTCTTACTGTTTACGTATGTCGTGATAAGCTGTGAATACGGGAGTGCTGCCTTCAACATTAAATATGTTGAATTCCACCTATGTCTCACGTCAGTGGGAAACTTTCTTAGGCGCATCTGGCTGTTCCCGCATTATTGTTTGAATTCTTGGAGCCGAGCTCCACAACTAGATAGGAAGGATAATGATTCTCTAATATTTGTAAGATTAGCAGAGATATGTTCAATTTATGCCTAAATTACTAAATTAATTATGTGACATGTACATCGTTGATGAAAAATTTCCCCTCCAAATGCCGGTTTCAAACTACGTTTAAGCAGATTAATTGCAGCTGTATTAGTTGACGCATTATCAAAAGTAATTGTTAAAACTTTATCTTCTATCCCATAAAACCCAAAAATTTTCATTATTGTACTAAAAATAACTGTTGCGTTATGAGGATATAGACATAAACGAAAATCAATTATTCTTTTTTGTAAAACCCAATCGTCATCAACGTAGTGTGCCGTGACACATAAATATCCAGTTTTATTACACCCCTCCCACAGATCAGAAGTGCAAGACACAGTAGCATTAAAAGTCCTAAAATTATCAACAAGAGATTGTCTCATTGCATAAAAAACTTTCATACAATCAGAACGAGTTGTGTTTCTACTTACCCGTTTAAATTATGGGCAAAAGGCTGTCTGGATGAATTCTTCGAAGGAGGCATCATCTGCAAAAGAAAGAGGCAATTCGGCACTAGCTAAAAATTTAGCTAGTGCCTCACGAGCACGTTGTGCATCGTATGTAAAATTTTGTAACCCATGTGATGTGAGTGATAGTGTTTGTTGGCAGAAGTCCACACTCCCACCTTGGTGCAACGGTAGACATACTTTCCAATGTCTATCCAGATGACCAGTACCCCCACCTTTTTTATTAGAAAAGTGCTTTTTACAATATTTACATACCGCCGAATTTCCATCTCACCTATTTTTGGATTTGGTCAGGGCTCCTCGGTGAAATGCTGCCATGTCGGAGAAGTTCGCGGTATTTTTCCTCTGCTGCGTTCTCCAGCTTTCTCGTTGTATACTGAAGTATTATTCACCGGAGCATTTTTTGGTTCAGTGGGGGTGGGGTTGGAAGGCATCATTTTTTCCTCAAAAAATGTCTCCTCACCAAGTTCAGGAAGAGCAGTGAAATCAGGGAAGTTTGGTGAGGCCATTTTCTGGAAATTGATAGAACTTGATTGAACTTTGTAAATGAAAGAGCTAGAAAAAGAATGAACGCGAGAAAAAAGCTTAGAATCAAAATCAAAGAGACAAGTTGAGAGATAGAATGTGAGTGAGATGAGAATATGAGAGTGAATTGTTGTGTGCGATTTATGGTGGAATTAATGGGTATTTATAGGGGATTTTTGGGTTGAAATTCAGTTTTTCCCGTTGGGCCCTTCGCGGGCCCAACGTGCGGCACGTGACGGGCCAAATGGGAGGCCCGTCACGTGCCGAACGTTGGGTCCGCGAAGGGCCCACTAGACCAAATGAAATGGGCTTCTTCGTGGGCCGTTTCGCGGGCTTGGGCTGGGCCAAATAAGGGCCGAATCAGGGCTTGGGCCGGGCCGAATAAGGGCCGTGCCGCGGACTGATAAGTTGAGGCCCAACCCTAGTCCATTACACGTGCCGTGCCGGCACGGCCCGTAATAGTAACGAACCGGGCCGTGCCGAATCAGGCACTATTACGGGCTGGGCCGGGCCGTCCATGGACGGCCCGGCCCAGCCCGTAATAGTGCCTGATTCGGCACGGCCCGGTTCGTTACTATTACGGGCCGTGCCGGCACGGCCCGTAATAGTAACGAACCGGGCCGTGCCGAATCAGGCACTATTACGGGCTGGGCCGGGCCGTCCATGGACGGCCCGGCCCATTTGACACCTCTAAGAGATTTATCCGATCAAAATATAGTTAAATTTCTTTATTTTGATTGAAGCATTATATTTAAAAGAGTATTTTCCGTGTCGAGAAATAGATAAGTCATATTTATGAGAGAGTTATTATTTTTGGTGAGCCTGGAAATGGATTATGGGGTCCCTTTTATAGGATCAAATGAATTAAGACATTTATCCATTTTTCATGTAGGACAGAAGGTTTTTTTCTCTAATTCTTCCGCCTTTCGTATGTGCAGTTTGTTAATTTCTCATTCACCTCTACATTATTTTTAGCATATTAATATATGGCTCATTACTAACGCAAAAGTGAGTCCCATTATAATTGGCACCGATCTTGGTGGCCATTTCATCATTGAAAGTGTAGTCCATGTGGCTTGGGTTTTTTTGTTTTGTTTTATGTTTTCGTGGATGTTGGGTTTTTGTTATAATAACAGAGGTGGTCTCTTTATCTTTTATCTTTTGATGCTTTTTTTATTTCGTCTTCAAGTTATATTTTTTTCACAATGTCGTCTTAGGCCTTACTATTTTTGGTCTCTCGATCTCAATTGGCCAGAGTTATTTACTAATTATAGTAGTGTGTCTAAAATAGCTGTTTGTGTGCTTGATAAGTTATGTGCTTCTTTGACTTCCTCTTGTTGAAACTTGGCACGTGTTACACCCTTGAGCGTTTTAATCATACTTATTGGTGGTTCTGATTTATCGTTAACATTGAGTTGCTAAATGCGTTTGGACCTTTTGTATTTGAATTACAGAATGTTTATTTCTTATATTCGTTCATGATTCTGAATCATAATTCATAATTTTTTACAGTATTTTTCTCCTACAAAGAAAAGAAATGAACATGTAGTTGGTTGCAGACAAATAACTTTTAGTTTTTTTTTGTCTGTACATGGAGGCAGAAATATAACGTAAAAATCATGGTTTGAAACAGAAGATTTTTAAATAACATACATTAGCTGTAATAAAAGAAACATAGAACTCTTGATATATGACAGTAAAGTAATTAATCATAAAAGAAATGTCATTTTAATGTAATAAAAGAACTTTGTAGCAAAACAGTAATATAATCAATTAACGGACATCAATAATAATAGCCCATAAGAACATATGATATATTATATAAGCATATATACATAATAGACTAAATCAATACATGATGCATGTATAATGAAATCATCAAAAACGAAATTTGATACTAAAATTAAAATTTTCAAAAACTAACAGATAACACCAATGAGGGAAAGGACAGATAATGGATACAGTGCTATAGTAGAAAAATCATTGCAAAAAGAATACTAAAGAAAAGGAGTACGAATATGTAATATCCATTCAAGCAGAAAGGAAAGACTATAATAAAATCATGACCATATGTATCAAGGAAAATATACGTGCAATATATCTTTTCAAAGTGGGAAGTGATCGAACCAAAATGTATCAAACAATTCACATATTAGAGACTCGTGTTGATAACGTGTTATAAAATAATAGTAAAAACTATAATGGCAAAAAATTAAAAGAACAAGAGAAAGCATAAGAAAAATATGTGAGACAAAGAAATTTTGTATTTTTTTCTTATAAAGAGTGATCATACAAGTAAATACCTCCTCTATTTATAGCTTAAGAATCATAACTAAAGGTCACAGAAGAAAATATAAATTACATAAGTTATATGTAAAATTAAGAGAGAAGTAATGAAGAATAATACACAATATTAAAAGGGGATATAATGAGGTCTAAATGAGTAGTTTAATATCTATATATATTAGAAAATATCAAGATGTAATATCTAATGTAATTAATTTACAATAGAAAATGAATTTTATTAAAAAAATAAAAAATAATTAAAAGTTGTTTTTACATTTCCGTTTTCATTTTCTAAAACTATGACTTAGTACACATTTTCAAAAACATTCCGAAATACAATATAATGAAATGAGTCTCCGTCTCAAGTCGTTGATGGTGTCTTCTTCTTCTCCTCTCAAACTAGTCAATAATCATCGGATTCTGCAAAACTCTCTGAAAAACTGTTTAGCCACTGATCGCCACTTTCCTCTTCACTATGAGTACGATTTCTTGCGTTTCATGGAACAACGTGGCGTTCGCGCCAATTCCCAGACTTATCTCTACCTTTTGGAAGCCTCTCTCGCTTCTCGCTCCTTCATACACGTCTCGAAGCTCCATTGCAGGATTCTAAAACTGGGGTTCGATGGAGAAGCTCCATTGCTTGACAAACTCATGGAAGTTTATATTGCTTTTGGAGATTTGGATTCTGCGGTTAAGGTGTTCGACGAAATGCCTGAGAGAAGTTTAACTTCATGGAATAGGATAATTCATGGGTTTGTGGCTAGTACATTGGTTGCTCATGTGTTGGGTTTTTATCAGAAGATGGTTATGGAAAATGCTCATCCGAATGAGACCACATTTGCGGGAGTTTTGAAGGCCTGCGCTAGTTGTAATGTTGACACCCGCCATGTCGAACAAGTTCACGCTAGAATTGTTCGTCAAGGATTCAGTGCTTCTCCGGTTGTGTGTAATCCATTGATTGATTTGTATTCGAAAAGGGGTTCTGTAGATTCTGCTACAAAGGTCTTCCTTAGCTTGCGTTTGAAGGATAGTGTTTCTTGGGTGGCAATGATTTCCGGGTTGTCTCAAAACGGACGCGAAGAAGAAGCCGTTTCACTCTTCTGTGAAATGCACTCATCAGGAACTCCCGCTACTCCATATGTGTTCTCAAGCACTTTAAGTGCTTGTACCAAAGTGGAGTTTTTTGGCATGGGGCAGCAAATTCATGGCCTTGTTTTTAAAGGTGGATTTGCTTCGGAAACCTACGTGTGCAATGCGCTTTTAACGCTTTATTCCCGCTTGGGGAATTTGGTAGCTGCTGAAAAGATTTTTAGCTCAATGCAGAACAGGGACGGAGTTTCGTATAACTCGCTTATATCTGGTCTAGCTCAGCGAGGATATAGTGTTAAAGCTTTGGAGTTGTTCGAGAAAATGCAGCTTGACCTTTTAAAACCAGATTGCGTCACGGTAGCAAGTCTTTTGAGTGCCTGCGCTTTTGTGGGGGCACTCGAGAAAGGAAAACAACTTCACTCGTACGCTATAAAATCAGGAATGTCTTCAGATATTATCCTTGAAGGTTCTCTGCTTGATCTTTACGTGAAGTGTTCTGATTTGCGAACTGCACACAAATTTTTCCTCACAACAAAGAGAGAAAATGTGGTTCTGTGGAATGTGATGCTAGTTGCCTACGGACAATTGGAGAATCTCGGAAAATCATTCCGGATTTTTAGGCAGATGTTGATAGAGGGTGTTATTCCTAATGATTTCAGTTACCCAAGTATTTTGAGAACTTGTACTGCGGTTGGAGAGCTTGATCTAGGAGAGCAGATTCATACTCAAGCAATAAAAACTGGATTTCAGTTTAATATCTATGTTTGTAGTGTACTTATTGACATGTATGCCAAGCATGGAAAACTAGATGTTGCCCTGGGAATTCTTAGAAGACTAACTGAGGACGATGTCGTGTCTTGGACTGCTATGGTTGCAGGGTACACACAGCATGATATGTATGTTGAAGCTCTGAAACTTTTTGAGGAATTGGAATATCGAGGGATTCGACCTGACAACATAGGATTTGCAAGTGCAATCACTGCTTGTGCTGGTATTAAAGCGCTCAATCAGGGAAGACAGATTCACGCTCAGTCGTGTGTCTCGGGCTATTCAAATGATCTTTCGATCAGCAATGCGCTTGTTAGTCTTTATGCGAGATGTGGTAGAATACAAGACGCTTACCTAGCATTTGACAACAATGACGCTATAGATAATATATCCTGGAACACGTTAATATCCGGGTTTGCACAGAGCGGGTTCTATGAGGAAGCACTGCAGGTATATTCTAGAATGAACAGTCTCGGAGTTAAGGCTAACTTATTCACATTCGGTTCTGCTGTTAGTGCCGTTGCTAATTTAGCAAATATAAAACAAGGGGAACAAATTCACGCCATGATTATAAAAACTGGGTACAATTCAGAAACCGAGGCTTCTAATGTCTTAATCACGTTGTATGCAAAATGTGGAAGAATTGATGATGCCACGAAGGAATTTTACGAAATGCCGGAGAAGAATGAGGTCTCATGGAATGCCATGATCACTGCCTATTCTCAACATGGACTCGGTATGGAAGCGGTAGATCTCTTTGAGCAGATGAAATGGCACGGTCTGATGCCAAGCCATATCACCTTTGTTGGAGTCTTGTCAGCTTGTAGTCATGTGGGGCTGGTAAATGAAGGGCTTGGCTACTTTGAGTCAATGAGCAAAGAGTATGGCCTAATGCCTAAGCCTGAACATTATGTTTGTGTTGTCGACCTTCTCGGCCGAGCTGGTTTACTTAGCAATGCAAAAGACTTTGTAGAGAAAATGCCTATAAAACCAGATGCAATGGTTTGGAGGACCCTATTAAGTGCTTGTACAGTTCACAAAAACACGAAAATTGGAGAGTTTGCTGCTCATCATCTACTAGAGTTGGAACCTGAAGATTCAGCCACTTATGTTCTTCTGTCGAACATGTATGCCGTGGCAGGGAAATGGGATTTTCGGGATCAGACTAGAAGATTGATGAAAGAAAGGGGTGTGAAAAAAGAGCCCGGTCAGAGCTGGATTGAGGTTAAGAACTCGTTTCATGCCTTCTTTGTTGGCGATCGGCTTCACCCACTTGCGGATAAGATTTACGAGTTTCTAGCAGATTTGAACACCCGGGCAGGTGAAATCGGTTATGTTCAGGAACGTTATAGCCTGTTGAATGAAGATGAACAAGAGCAGAAGGATCCCACTGCGTATATTCACAGCGAGAAACTTGCAATTGCTTTTGGACTACTTAGCTTAACTAATAATAGTAATAAGCGTCCCATACGTGTGATTAAGAATCTGCGAATCTGTAAAGATTGCCATAATTGGGTTAAGTACGTATCAAGAATCTGTAATCGAGGTATTGTAGTACGTGATGCATATCGTTTTCATCATTTTGAAGGCGGTTTCTGTTCATGTAGAGATTATTGGTAAGTAATTCACATGAGAAGAGTTTTTTTTTTTACTCTTCTTTCAAACACCAACCACGTATACATGAGATATAGAAGCCTTTCTATCAGTACTTTTTCAAAAGTAGTACTGATTGCTTAATTTTTTTTCTCAGGTAAACAAACTTTAGCTGATTCGACACATTATTTCCCGTAATCTTCATTCAAGTTGAGGGCAGCTAGTACGTCTTCGTTTTGACCATATTCTTTGCTACATGGTTACTGAAGGGTTTTTGGTTCTTGTATGTGTGGAATCAGAGTACTCATGTACTCACCTTAGCTGCACTTGTAACTAATTGTATGTCATCTTTTAGGTCTTGGAGCTGTTTGAAACACCACAAAAGTGAACCCGGGCGTTGCTGTTGTTTTTGGTCTTGGGACTGCTGGTCTTGCAGTAAGTTTGGTTATGGTCCTTTTAGTTATTTCCTTCTGCTGAATGCTTCACTTTTACATTACTGAATATGATTTTAACATTACAGGTTGCAGAGGGTGCAAAAGCAAGAATTATTGGTAAAGATATTGACAGAAAGAAGATTGATGTAGGTATAGCTTCTTATCTTGTTATATTCTCCTTGCATTCTTTGTTTGCAGCTACTTAGTGGTTGTTTTGCAAAACTAGATTATGATACGAAAATTTTACTAATACTATCCATACAAATAATGATTTTAAACCCCATTTCTAATACTATCCATACGAATTTCAGAACAAGTTAAACAACTACAATTCCTGCATTATACATCTTAGTATCTTAAACCCCATTTCTAAACTACACTTTGAATTAACTATGGAGTAACAAGACAAGAAAGAAAGCAGAGGGGCTTTAATTATTATTATTAATTAGCAAAGCAATGAACACAGAGGAGGAAGATCCCACAGAGCTCAGCAGGATCATGCACGGTTTCCATGTATTCTTGCACGCCATTCATTGCGTAGAGCGACGCAGAAATCTGTCTTTCGACCTTCATCCTTTCAAACTCCAGAAACTCTGACTGAGCAGCTGTCTCTGGCTCGTCAGCTTGATCTTGATCATTCTTTGACAAATCCAACACTTGCGGATCAGTTGTGTCAGCAAAGGGAAACCGATCAAATGTGGCTCCGAAACCCCAAGAATGATTGGTCGAATATTGCGGGGAGCTCAACTGAAGTACTGCCTCCTCATTGCAGTTGCTCATGTCTGGTTTGTATGCATCATCAAACAACTGATCAATAGTAGTACTATCTTGTAATATCCCACAAGAAGAAGAATTAATACTAGTACTGCCACAACTACTAATAGTAGTACTAGAAGTACAACTAGTGCTAGAGTTTGTAGTAGTAACACTACTAGTACTAGTTTTTGTGATTGAATTCTTGGGAGAGGAATCAAAACCCTCTTGATGTTTTGCTCTTTTCTTGTTGTTAAGGAGGTTTCGGATGCGAGACGCGAGAGGGGAATCTGCAGAAACATGCGTGATGAAGTTGGTTCGGGTGTTGGAACCGCGGAGAAGGCAAGCGGCTTCATCATAAGCTCTTGCAGCCTCTTCCGCCGTCTCAAAAGTGCCAAGCCACATCCTAATCTTTTGTGTCGTGTCTTTGATCTCAGCCACCCATCTCCCAGAAGGCCTTTGTCTAACCCCAACAAACTTGTTGGTGTTATTGTTGTTGATGATCTTATTGTCGTTTTTATTTCTCCCCTTGAATTTGCCTCTTTTGCCTTTGCTACTACTTTGAATCCCTATTGTCTTGAAATATTGTTGGTTTTCTTGCTGAAAATGGATCTCCATTTTTGGTAAGAAGTTAAATGAGATGAGGATCAAAAGGAAAATTTGTAATTCAATTAAAGAGTGACAAAAAGAAAGGAGAAACTGGTTAAGGTGGTTGCTAATGATGGGGATTTATATATGTTTGAATAGTTTTCTGAGTTTTCTATGAGCAAGTGGGTGAATAAAATATACGTGAGAGACATTAGCTGTTGTTTTCTGTTTGATATTTTATGATCGGTTCCCATGTTTAATTTAAATAATATCATTCGATTGCGACCACTTTCTACTTTCAAAAAAAAAAAAAAAAATTGAATCTTTTTCCAAAATTACCCTTTTGACTTGTGGAAAATGACTTTTTGGCCCTCCACTTCTGATATACGTATTGTGTGGCAAAGCCATCTAAATTAATCCCAAGCTAGAAAGGCAAAAAAAAAAAAAAAGTCTTTAGGCGAAAAAATAACAATTGTTGGTATCTATTTTTATGCTCTAATTTATTAGCCCTATAATTTCCACAATTGTTAATTCTTAGAGTTACCCGTTTGTGTTCAAAGCATAATTCATTTTTATGGAATTATATTTGATGGTTATGTATTCACCAAAAAAACAGAGAAACTCAAATAATGAACCTTAAAAAAAAGATAAAATATCAGATTGTGCATCATATTTTCAAACGACCACAACAAATGGAGAAGACAATAAGAGGGTAGTATTTGTTCGTTCTTAGGGGGACAAAAGAAGAAAAATTAAAAATAGATTAAGGACAAGATTGGTTTATCATCTAATTAGGCAAATTGGGCCATTTTGATTTCTCATTTTAATTTTGATTTATTTTTCTTGTCTCTACTCTAAGCCAAACATTCTCGATATGAAAGTCATGAAGGCACACCAAAGGCCGCCACTTGGAGGCACCCGAATAAGGTTGTAGAAGAGCCAAACGCAAAAGGTCTAAAAGTCTTGTTGTTTAAATTGGCCCTTGAAAATGATGTAAGACCGAGTCATTCTGTACTCTAAGAATTAGACAAAGTCATTTTCATGTTGAAAACGTCTTTGTTCTAATCTCCTAATTGCATCACCAAACGAAACTTGTTGTTTTATTCGTATTTTAGTACTGTTAGTAGATTCTCTTTTTTGTTTTCGCTATCCAACTTATATCATATACCAATGTGATTTTTTAAGTTTATAAAATAGTAAATATACTTACTGATAGTGCATGTTTCTAAACATTACATCTTATCAAAATAAAAAAAATTATTTTTCTACATATTCTAGAATTGTAGAATTCTCTTTTTTTTTTTTTTTTGGAGCAAAAAAGAACACAAGAGAGCGAGTGTCCTCAAATTATTTCCTGTTATTTCTCTAAATTCAGTATGTTGCTCTTTTTTTTTTTTTTTGGGTAAACTTAAAGAAGCTTCTCCTGTTTCGGAATTGTTTACTAAACTTCAATTGTAATAGGCGGTTATAACATGGGAATCCTCTTGTATTTAAATCATTCATACAGGTCTCGTGTATTTAAATTATTTTCTCTTTGGTTTTTGAGGGAAAAAAAATGTATGAAAGAGTACTAAAAAAAGAGGTTTTAATGTTAGCTTTTCATTTTCATCGAAATGCTTGGGAAACAGTGTTCAGTTCCTGGGAAACCTCTGTGATTGTGAAAATTTTTGTCATTATATGAGTAAACTACATTAAATATAATTTTTTATGAGAGTTTTCAACTGTAATCAAATTATAATGAAAATTCGAATCGGTAAAATGAACGAGGTCTAGAGATGTCTTAAGCTGCGCCTAATAGGCCGATATGAGCTCTGCATACTAAGGGGTGTGGAGGGTTCAACGGGTTTGAATTTAGGTCCAGGTTCAAATCAATATTTGTTTGTAGAAAATATGAAGGAGTTTGAACTCTTTAATGTGACATTTAAACTCTCAAGATAAAAAGATTTCTAAACCTAAAATCTCACTTGATTCTCAAGGTTTGAACTCAAGTTCAAAACACACAGTTCAAAACCTATATGGTTCAAAGTCAAGATTTAAACACACTTTAATTTAAAACCCTTTACTAAATGAACACTGGTCTCGTTTATTTCACCGATTTGAGTTTTTAATTTTAAGTTTCTACAGTAAGAAACTCTCAGAAAATGTCACATTTAACTTTTTCTGCTATAGTACAAAACTCTCAGAAAATGTCACATCTCAGCTCAAATTGAAAACTCAATCCGCAAAGTAAATGATGCCTAGCTAAATAGTGGGTGGGTATAACACGTTCCAATACAATTAGTAGATGGGCTCGATCGAACACGGTTATTGGAATGAGCCAGGCTTGACGTAACGAACTCGTTAAGAGTGCAACATGTTGAAGGCCATAGAAACACACAAACACACACGATAAGGGCATCAAGATGATATACAATTGACAATTCTTCTTTGGAATATCATAGAAAACAGGCCTACATTTAAAACTTATGTTAGTAAATTACTAATTTACCAACGTATATAAAATGAATAGACCTTTTTATGTTTTGAATTTTTTATTTTTTAATTTTACCCTTCTTTTTATATTTTTCCCCTTTTTCTCTCTTTCCCTCTAGATTTCCTTTTCTCTCTTCTCTCTATATCTATCGTTTGTAGGTCTGTTCTTTACTCTCTCTCATCGTCGATCGTAAATCTAAGATCTATAGTGTAAATTTAAAATTTACCATCAGAATACATATTGTATTTCTTCGTAAATCTTTAAATTACATGGTAAATTTAGAACTTTATAAATATAAGATAAACATTTTTAGTAATGCTCATAAATATAGAATTTACTGTAGGATAAATCTAGAATTTACTGATTTACTATCAGAACACAAATTGTGTTATTCATAAATCTAGGATTTACCGTCAGAACAAAATTTTTGTTCCTTTTTTAAATCCTAGATTTATATACTATCAGAAAAATACTGTGTTTATTCGTAAATCCTGGATTTACATATTATGTTTAAATTCAAGACTTACTGTTATTAAATTATATTAACTATAAGAAAAACATTTTTTAGTTCTGCTCATAAATCTAAGATTTATCGTTTTGTAAATTCAAAATGTACCATCAAACACATATTGTGTCATTCGTAAGTAGATCTAAAATTTACCATCAAATGCAATTTTTGTTCCTTCGTAAATCTTGAATTTATATAGTAAATTTACGATTTACCATCAGACCACATATTGTGTTTATTCACAAATATTTACTGTAGGATCTATAGTTTATAGCTTATATT